CCCCCTGCCCCCTCTGCTGTTCCTCCCCACACTTGGGCTCTAGACCCTGCCCCAGCAGCTTTGTTGCTCTTCTCTGGCCACACTCCAGCGCCTCAAGGTCCTTCTGGGAGTGAGGAACCCAAAGCTGATGGAAAGGACGTGCCAGATGCTGTACCTGGGGTAGTGGTTTAGCAACACTCAAATCAGAACAACCCTCCTGGAAGCTGCTGCTGGCTCCAGCACCCCGGGCAGCCCGTCCCGACCCCACAAATGCCATTACTCCTCTCACAGAGGATTTGTTTTGTTTTGTCCATTTTATTTTGCTGGTTTAGCCTCAAGCCCAGGGCAGAAGACCTATCTGCATTTGAGACTTCCAAGTAGGTTATTCCCAGGTACTCTACGTGGGGCGATGGGGTCACTGGCTGGGGTACTAACCCGTGCATGAGCTTGCCTGCCGGATGCCGGTGACACCAGGCTCCCCCTGCCCAGCTCCAGAGCCTTTGGGAGCCTTCCCAATCTCTCTGCATTTGCTTTTCCACCTGAGCTTCCGTGCTGGGAAGCATCTTTCTTGGCAGAAGTTGAGTTGGCAGCATCAGTGGGGGAGTGCAGGCGAGGCGTAGATGTTCAATAATTAAACGTGCCTGGTTTTGCTCCGCCGGCGGCGGCTGGGAATCTACTGGAGGTGCAGGGCAGCCTTTGAAGTTTTCTTTAATGAAGGAAACTGAGTCCTTCCCCCTTTGTTTGCTGCGGAAAGAAACTCAGGGTTTGAAAAAAAACCCAAACAAACCCAAGCGACTGCTGCCAACGCTGTGGGAACAGGCTAAAAACACCAGCTCCGTGGTGGAGCGGCACGTGGGCGCGCTGTCGGCGGCTGAGGAGCAGCTCAGGAGCAGACAGCTGGGGACAGACAGAGTCTGCAGCAGCTCTTGGGCCAAGCTACAGCTGGGCTTGGTCCAGAGAGGACCATGATGTTGGTCACCATCGTGCCGTGGGCTGTCAGAGCTGCTCTCCTCCCTGCCCATCCCTGCCTCCTCCAGCACACCAGGGGCCCCTGCTCTCCTAACACCGTGTCTCTCCTGTCCAGAGCCTGCTTTCCCTCAGGGATTTGCCCTCAGTCCTCAGGCTGTGCAGGGCATCGACTCCCTCCTTTGGGAGGATGGGTTTGGGGAAGCTGGTTCTGCTCTTTCCTCGACCGTGGTTCTTGCAGACCCGCAGGGCTCAGTGAGTTTTAGCTGAGGGAAGAAAGGACACGTGTGCTGCAGCAGCAGCGCTCAGGAGTCATGGAATGAGAGTGTGGTTTGGTGGGAAGGGACCTTTCAAGGCCATCTAGTCCAACCCCCCTGCAGGGAGCAGGAACATCCCCAACTAGAGCAGGTTGCTCAGAGCCCCAGCCAACCTCACCTGGAATGGTTCCAGGGATGGGGCAGTGACCACCTCTCTGGGCAGCCTGGGCCAGGGGCTCAACACCCTCAGCATCAAAAATCTCTTCCTTCTCTCCTGTCTAAATCTCCCTCTTTTAGTTCCGAAGCATCCCCCC